TTTTTTATATATGTAATTTTATTAATTAAAAAATTATCACACGCCAAATTTTCGGGTCCAGATATTACATGTATATCATTTAATTTAATTAATTAATTAATATGAATTTATTAAAATATATATCATTGGGTTTTAAAAATTATATAATTGGGTCTCGGTTGAGTGTTCTGTTTTAAATTCTTAAAAAAATTCTCTCTTGCTCCACAAACCTGCTATACTTTCAAAAATTATTGAATACCTCATTGTTACAAAGCAATCCAATTTTCTGCCAAGCTTATCTTCAAGAATATGCAGTTACGTGAGCAGCAAGGAATTTCTCTATCTTTTAATATTTGAGAAAATTACCAAATAAAAATTGGTTAGAATTATCAACAAGCTAAAAAATATTGTTTGAAAAACAAATTTCCAGATTCTACAAACATCAGAAGTTCATTCTACAATCTTGCTCTGGATTCGCCTCTTTGAATTTACTGATAATTCCTCCTAGTTCTGAAGATGGAAAGACCGTGCACTTGTTTCTCTATTAATTTCTTTCCCTCATCTCAACTAGTTTTATCACATTCCTTTTCGAGTTACCTCATTGAATCCGAAACTCTGGAATTCTCGAGCTCGCTACGAGACCATCAAGCTCCAAAATCAAGCACAACTAAAATTTCAAAACCTCTAGGACTTCGTGTTGCTGAATCCTTTCCTGTGGCTGACACAAGGTCCTAAGAATCATTGCAGGGGGACATAACAATCTCCATGTGCCGATTCAGATCATTTAGGTACTTGGATGAATTGTAGTCTTCTGCATCAAGGAGCTCCTCAGAATATGTCCTTTGAAGTTTAGACATTTGACGTTTTTTCATCTGCTCTAGTTTACAATTATCACCCTTTAGAATCTGCACAACCTGCATTGAATGCAAAAACAACTATTTTTGTAGACTTTTGTGTTATGAGGCTATTTCCATAACAGATACATGTTGATATCCTTGCTATGAGCCTTGGAAATTGCCAACTTAACAGATGAATCATGTTATAATTTCTGAAATCAGAAACCTGCCTGGCTCATTTGGGGTCGGCTAATTGAGGACTGATGAATGCATGAAGAAGCAGTCAAGACCAGACGGTTCAACTGTTCCTCGTCATACGCGTCACCAAGAGTTGGATCAACAAGTTCCTTGATATTATTCTTAGTGATCAAAGGTTTGGCCTGTGACAAATATGTTAAAGCAGCTTTAGTTTGAGTAAAAGTTCCAGGCCCTCTCTGAATTAAGTAAGGAAATAAATTGGAGCAGATGCGGACATACCCACATGACAAGGCTATGCTGTGAACTATCCAAAGCTTGCCTTCCTGTGATGAGTTCTAATAGTAGGACCCCATAAGCATAGACATCAGTTTTTTCATCGACAATGCCGTGCATGAAGAACTCAGGAGGAAGATAACTGCAACAATAGAAAAAAGAGAAATAAGATTACAGGATAGCAAAATTCATAAATTCAGAAACTCTGTTGTGTTATAATTACAAACCCAAATGTGCCTTCAACTTTTGATACAGTGTGATGAGTCCATTGATCTGGTAGCCACTTTGCAAGCCCGAAATCAGAAATCTGGTTCAAGAGTAAATTTCACTTTGAGCTATAATGGTAAAATAAAACCAGAATAGTGACTTTAAGGTTGTATTATACTGCAGAGATTTGGTGTACCTGAGCTTCAAAATCCTCTGTGAGCAATATATTAGAAGCTTTGATGTCTTTGTGGATAATCCTTCTTTGGCACCCTTCATGCAGGTAGAAGAGACCCTCAGCAGTCCCTAGAGCCACTTTATATCTAGTTTTCCAATCCAATTTCTCCTTTGGGCCTAGGAAAAAGTAGCCAGAATGAGCTGAAAGTTCACCAATTTAAAACTTGAAAGAATTTCAAAATCCTTGATTATAAACAAACCATAAAGTAAGGATGCTAAGCTTCCATGGGGAGACAATTGAAGAACAAGGTGCATGCCGCCTTCAACTCCATACCCAATTAGTTTAGCAATATTTGGATGATCAACATGGACTATGATCCCAAGCTCGGACAAGAAATCTGTTGTCATCTCTTCTGGAGAACCTCTGGTTAGTCTTTTGATTGCAACAAGTTGTCCATCTGCCAATTGTCCCTTGTAGACTTCAGCATATCCTCCTTCCCCAATCAAATTTTCTTCAAATGAGAAAAACATTTATCAGCACAGTTGTTCTTAGCCAAAAGACCAGGAAAGGTAACAATGTTTTGTTCCCTAACTCGATATCAAAGCAAGGACGACAAACATTCAAATTTCAAGCTTTGAACTTAGTACAAACCATGGCTGAAATCATTGGTTGCAGCTTCGAGCTCTGATAGGGCAAAGTTCTTCCAGCTAGATTTCAAGCAGCATAATTCAGGGTCCAGAGTAGATGTCAAGTTCGGAACCATGTAATCTCTAATTCTTTTGCTTTTCTTTCTAGTGAGTTTTGGTACACTTTTTAGAGATGGCAATGGCTGGAATTTCATTGCTGATCCTTTAAATAAACGCATGAAACCACGCCAATGAACACCAGGACCTAGTAGTTCTTGGTGGCCTTCCAAGCCTGAAGTGCTGGCTATAGAAGAAGCTGTTTCAGATTCTGCACTTCTTGAGCAGTCTTCTAGAGCACCTGTCTGGGAGACCTCTTCTGGACTCCCCTCGACAACTATGGATGTTAGATCTAATACAACAGAATAGGGACTTCAGTACAAATAGTAACAAACGTTTGATTCTAGTGCATAGACCCCAACTTCAGGTTCGGTTCAAATTCTATTTTTTAGGGAATATAATACAATTGAACTAAAATTTCGAATAAAAATATCATTTTAATTATAAACTAATTATACGTAAATTTCAAATAAAGTGTTTTCTATAATTCTTTTATCGACAAATAAGAATATAAATCTATTCTTAAATTTTTAAAAATGTGAATAGAACTGTTTCATTAAATATCAAATACGTAAATTATAATTAAATTTTATATATAAAATAATTAATAATATTAAAAACTTAAAAAAAAATATAATAAAACTTAGCAAAATGCTGGGAATATGACAAGAAAAATGATCGTATACCATCACACGAGAAGGAATCAGAGAATCCGGCTCTAGCTCTCCTGGCAGAAACAGGAGGACTCCCGCCTTTGTGGTTATCATGATCACTGTCATCGGAACTTTTGCTGCCAAATGCAAGCACGAATAACAAATTATTGTAGTTGAAAGATATACCAAAATCCCAAAGATGACAGTTGGATCAGAAAACATAACAAGCCAAAAACATCACGCTGGACAAGATATTATGGGAAAGGAAGGCAAATGGGTAAGCAAAAACTGAAAGATCAAATATGTAATAAAGGAGTAAGAGTACCATAAAATGAAAAGGAAAGCGACAAAACTGAAAGACAATTTGTTAAAAAGAAAGGATCCTTCGTTTTTCATAACCTTGATCATCTAAAAATTGATTTAAAAAAATTGCAGGTAAAGCAAATTTGCAGAACAATATAAAAGGTTAGATATTTTCCAAATAGAAAAGAAATTTTTAACAGACACGATTTTGTGTTTATCAAGCTAGACACATTTCCATTTGCTTTTCCAAATATGGTATAGAATACATATTAAATTTTTTCGTACAACTATCGTCTCCATCCTCTCCCCCCTCTGCATTCTCATGACTAACATTTTTCTCAGCAACCAAACAGAATACAGTGCGCATAATCAGGACAATAGCAGAACCTAAATCTATCATAAAGTGAAAACGACAAGCATTAAAAGAACAATATCAAATACACTCCCAAACTACCAAAGCAAACAAAACACAGGAAGCAATCAAATAAAATGTAGGCATCATCAATGGCGACAAACCTTGAAAAGAAAAAGCTGAGAAAGGGAGAAGAGAAAGGAAGGAGATAATACCAAGGAGAGAGAGACGTCTTTGGGGCATCTTCCATGAATTCTGAAAGATGGCCAAAGCCTGGGAAACCAAAAGAGGGGATCAATCAAAGGTGTTGGAGAGAGAGAGAAGAGCGGTTTGTCATGGTTTCTCTTCTCTGTACCTCTCTAATATCTGAATTTTTATTTTTATTTTTTTAAAAATAATTATTAATTTGGAGAAAATAAACCAGATGTCATTGCTGAAAACCCGGATGTTGTTTGTCATCTTTGCCAAAATCTTACCGCATTCACAGAATGAACATCTAACGACTAACGGCCTCTGTGCTATAACCAGACGTTGTAAGCGAAGCACGTAGGGCGTCGGGCCTATCACTGGATGCCACGTGGCTTCGTATGCCAATCCAGTGTTAGTTTTTTCCTAATACGTACTTGACTGTTATCACCTTACAACAAATTTGCAATTTTATTTTAAAAAAAAAAAAAATTAACGTTATACAAAATTTATATAATATTCTGAAAAAAAATTTGGCAAAAAAATAGTAAAACAAATATCTATAAAAAAACAAAAAAAAAAAAAATTATTTCAGGTAAATTAAGATTTGAAAAAAAAAAAAAAAAGTATTACCGTAACCACAGTAATAAACTATATGATAAATTAAATTTAATATAGTTTAGATATATGATAATGCTCTTAAAGAAAGTACACTCCATAAATTGGAAAAAATAAATATATAAGTTAAAGAAATCCTTGGATATATAGAAATATTTTTGTACTTTTAAAACTGAAGAGAAAATTACAAACTAATATACATTTTAAATTTAAAAGTAATGATAAAATTACTGTAATTACTCTTATACAACTATAATTTTATTAATAACAGCCATATTGATTTTATCTAAATAATAAAAATATATAATTTATTAAATATACTAATAATTTAAATTGATAAAAAATTATCATTAAAAAATAACTTACAGAGAGATAAAATAGTTCATTTAAATAAGAAGTGTATACATCATATATATATATATATATATGAAATTATGAATGTAAAATAAATTTTTAATTTTCTAAAAATATTAAATCAATTATTTTAAGTAATTTTTCATACATTTCACGGGATTGGTGAACATAAATGATTTCTGTTGCTTAAACACCATCCAAACATTCCCATCAAGAAATTTCACCCCGCTGCTCTCTCATACAACTCTGCTTACACTTTTATTCCCAACTCAATATGATACAAAATACAACAGTTGTTCCGAAGTATCAGCCCAACTGGATTGAAAATTTACACCCAGAAAAAAATGTGAAATGAATTTCAATTTGGCAAATCCAGTCTTACAAACAGCATTGCAAGTCCTAGCTCAGCATTTTAATGGACATTCCGCGTGATTAAGCCCTCGAAAATTGTATAGAGGTCCTTATTATCTGGGCCAAAAATCTCCTCAGCCTTCCGAAGAGTCTCCTGTGACAATCCAGATAGATTTGTAATCAGCATTATGAACAGAACAATATTTAAGAAAGACATCAAAGAGGCAGGGGAAAGAATGATCATGTACTTCTCTTGACTGCTTGTGTGCATTCAATTCCTTAACATTTGCTAAAAATGCACCAAACTGCTCATACGACAAGCGGCTCCTGGTGAAACAGAGAGTAACATGGGCAATTATTAACTGGCTACAAGTTGCAACGTCTACATATCGAGAGGAAGAATATCGAATATAAGACAATTAAAGATTGAAAGCTAACTGGAAATGATTTTGAGTCGTTCATGAATTTAAATGGGAACACATGAAGAAAAGCTAGTGAATATGCACATGGCAATGGAGGTAACAAATAGAAACCAACCAACTATTGGGGATTATGTGTCAATTCTTGGCACAACTAAGAAAAGCAAAGTATGTTTTTTTAGCAACCATTTTCCAGTAAAAATAAGGTCCCCTTCCAATTTAGAGCAACTGCCATGCAAAGTCAAATATGCAAATTTTTATATTTGCAAAACAACAAAAATAATCAACTATTTCCTGCAATATCTACTGTAGACACATATTTTGAGGCCCAAAGCAGTTGAAATCAGCCAAAAGAGCACATTCTTCATACTCAGGATTAGATTATTCTAGCAATAGTAAGTTCAAGAATATGTTTCTGACTTCTCTCAGTAAGAAGTTTTAGGCTTAGCCAGCTTTACCTGACTTGGCGGAAGAATTCTTTTCCATCAACTCGAGTTCGTCCTGAAACATATATGAAAGGATCTAAGATATGGCATAACAACTATATATATATATATATATATATCAATAACTCAATATTAAATTGGCATTTTTAAGAGCACCTTACAATTGGATATGTCATATGTCATAAAAGATATGAAAAGCTAAAAGGAGATAATGAAAAGAATTGTTGATCCTAGAACAGCAACCTCACATTGTAGCTTAGCACAAAAAGAATGTATGTTTCAGTAGGACTACTCTAGCCAGCCCACAAGTTCAGGTAGGAGTGAAAAAAAGCCAGATCATACTTATGAATCTTAAGGCAAATTCTCTAGATTTGCAAAATGTTGTAGCTTTCAAGATTAGAAGAGTCTTAAGACAAATTAATTACTCTAGCTTGCAAAATGTTACAGCTTTTCAAGATAATAGTCATAAGTAATTTCTAAAGAGCAATATGTTCATATGCTTCAAGTATCACCAAAATCAAAAGGCAATGGTTTTCAAATCGGAAACTTGGCAAACTTGCCAAGTTTTCAAACCGGAAACATGGCAAATATTTACATCTTAAAAGATCTAGAACTGTATTTTGATTTTCTTATCTTTATTTTGTCACATAAAATGGCCCCAGGAAAAAAGCAAGATATTTAAAGCCGCAACTATAAGACTGTTGGAAAATAGATCTCCAGCAGCTAAATTAGCCTCTAAAATTATTAAACTTCATATAAGGCATTAGTCCTTAAAAATGTCCAAGGACTGACCAGCATAAGATCCTGCATCCGAACTAGATATTGAACCGGGTTGGCTGGATTGTGCAGAAGAAAATGCAGAAGACCTATCATCAAACATGCCTCTTGAGGTAGAAAATGAAATTGAATGCCGTCTTGGTGAAGGTGGTTTGGATGTCCTCGTTGGAGACACAGAAGCTGATAGACTTGGAGGAGAACCAGGAGGTGTGAGCCGAGGAGTGCTTGTTTGTGATACTAACATGGGACCATGTGAAAACCCTCGCCTTGAGGCTGCCATAACAATTGTTTTTGGTGAGGTAACTTCAAAATCTTGACAAATGATAACAGACAAATGATATAGGCACATCAATATGCTGAGATGTCTTCTAGAACCAAGATAAATATAACAACAATGAGATAAAGAAGAAACAGAAGTGGAATACCATCAGTCTCACGATCCTCTGGAAATGCATTTCCTATATCTGACACCTGATTCCGAATTGAAGAATATCTTGAAGGTGGCAATGAAACATCATCATCTGAAACATATCAGGTAAAACCTCTTTGAGTTGGTAATTGGATTCTAACAAACAGGCACACAGACTGTCAACCAGACATTTCTGATGCAGCCCAATTTTTTATAACAGCTAAATCAGGATTAAGGTAAGGGCATCTTGAGAAGCTCCAAAAGGATTTGAGAACTAATTTCTCTCAGACTCAAATAATTCAATTTCTTTGCAAAGTTTTAAAAACAAATAAAATGAGTATCATTGCGTGATTAAAACCAACTAGAATCAGTTCGATAACAGATTCGCTTGGTAACCTTCGAGTTTTTCAGAAGAATGTATATTAACAGCACGAATAAAACCAAGTTTAGACTCATGAAAAAGGGATGACGCTACGCTGCCCCAAACAGAATAATCATATAAAAATTACTTGTTTAAGGACAATATTTTAGTGATTAAAAAAAAAAAGATAACATCATACCACTAGGTGTTGGTTTAGCGATAATCTGTGTGGCCCCTGCCTGTGACAGAACTAGACTTGATTAAACCCAGAAAATAAATCATTTGGAGAGATCATCTCAAGCAATTAACATATCCTTAAGCAATCAGTAACTTACAGAACTTTCTTCATCTTCTTGAAGCGACTGCATGAGAGTCTTTTTGAAGACCTCCAACTGACCATATCAAAAAAGGAACACCTTATCACCACCAACATAAACATTTATAATCCATCTTTCAGGAAACTTACAAAAACTCAAGATCAAACAAGTAATGCCTACTTGCAATGAGGAGGGGTAGTCAGTTGAATTGTTAATAACTACTTCTTTTGCTAGGGACGGAAGTTAATTAGCCAACGTAAGTTGGAAAAGTTTTTGATGAAACAAGATGGACGATGGAATCGGCCAAATACGGTCTTGCTTCGAACAGTGAAAGGTAATAGGGATTAAACCTTAACTAGCAGCAATTCACGCGTTTTCTAGCTCTGCTTCTAAACATTTCAAGCTCATTTTAACAGGGAATAAATATCAACTCAAAATCACAATGTTCTAGCAACGAAGGCACTTCTTAGCAATTTCAATAAAGCTGACTACCTCAATTATCAAACCAATTGAGAGAAAACAAGCTCCAAAGAAATAATAATAAAAAATTGAAGAAAATCATTGACGCACCTTGGCGACATCTCTTTGTAGCTTCTTCACAGTAGCAGAAAGCGACGCGTTATCTTTCAACAAGCTCTCCTACAACACAGACCGTTCTATTTTTCACTAGGAAAAACAACATAACATAAATCTGGATTGCAAATTGTCGGGGGTTATGGAGCCAAACCGGGTCGGACCTTTTCCTGTTCGGCCCGAGCAAGCTTAGAGCAGGCGTCGGAGAGAGAGGCGTCGAGATTCTCGATTTGCGCTTGCAGTTCGGCGATTACACGTTCCTTGTCAGCGAGTCTGCCGATGAGAGAAGATGACTCAGATTCGAGTGCGGAGACTCGAGTGGAGAGAGCAATGGATGTGATTTTGCGGGCCACATCGAGCTGCTCGAAAGGATCGGACGGTAAAACTTGCAAGACCTCCTCGGGAAGATCGAAGGTGGAGCCTCCACCACTCGATTCCTTGTCCTTGGCTAACATTTTCAACTTTTGTTTGTCTCAAGCGAATATTATATACATATATGTATAATATAAAGAGAAAGAAACTGCAGTTGGAGGATGGAGCTAGTAGCCTACAGTGGAAGTAGCCAAGGCAGCATTGGAAGGGGATATGGAGGGTGGAGGAGAAGAAAGTGAATTTTAAGGTGAAGGTCAACATGTGGCTGATAGGGGATGATGATAGGAGATTTGCATGGAGACAAAAACCCAAAGCCAATGAACGGACTGTAGTGTTTTCCCCCTATACATTCATTCATGTTTCCACTTAATTTATTACTTATTAGGCTGTATTTGTAATAATTTAAAATTCAGAAAGAAAAAAAAACTATTTATAAATTACATTTATTAAATAAAAAATTTCTGTAAATATTATAAGATTTGAGTTTATTAAGATTTTATATAAAAATCAGAATAATACATTTAAAATTTGATAGTATTTAAAATATATGTTCAAATTTAATATAGAGTTTTATATAAATTCTCTATAAAATTTATTTTTTCTCTAATTAGAATATGTATATTTTATAAATAATAAAATTGATATAAATTCTGAATTTATTTCAAACAATCATACTTTGTAAATCTTAGATGGGAGATAATTATTCTGCCTAAAGTGATATCTTGGATATAAATTCTACTTTAAAATAATAAAAATTGATTTCATATTAAATTTGAATTGTATATATTTTAATTTTAAAAATATATAGATAATTTTTACTAAATATATAAATAGATTTAGAAATAAATTTAATTCTAAACGTAGTTTAATTTTTTAAATAATGGATGTTGATATATAATATTCTTAAAGAAGAAAAAAATAAACATTAATCTCCTAGTTTTTAACATGTGATGAAGTAGAACATCTAAACAAATAATATATATATATATATATATTTATGTGAATAATTAAAATTTATTGATTAAAATATTTTTACTTTTAGGAAATTTATAAATCAAACTTTATTTTACATATTTCACGTATAGGTATTTTGTGTGGGGCCCACTTCCTTAAGCATGAAGTGTAAGGACCAAAGATACATAATATTAAGTCACTAATATTAATTAAATAAAGATATAACAAATTTAATGATAAATTTTAATTTAATCTCATGTGGTTTAAATTGCAAAAACAATATTACTCTTCATCCAACCGTATAAATGAAATTAAAGTTTAGGCTTTCCTACCAAAAAAATAGAAAGAGACATGGGTGGAGCTCCATTAAAGTCCAGCATTGTTGCTTAGAAATTGGGCCCAATGAGAACCTACCGAATGAAGTGAATGGATAGTCCAAGCCCCATTTAAATATTACATTTATAATCTTTATATATATTTAAATTTGTTTTAAACTTTTTTTATATTATAATTTTAAATTTTCCTACAAGTTTTATAGCTTATTAACTTTTAAAAATTATATAAACTAGTTTTTGATGAAAATACAACTTTATTACGTTTTTCAATTTTAATATAAACTAAATATATTTAAAAGTACGGGCGAGAATCACCAAGCGCATTTGGTGTAGTGGTATCATAGTACCCTCCCACGGTACTGACCGGGGTTCGATTCCCCGGATGCGCAGACCCACAATTTCTTTTATGTTTTCTTAAATTTTCTATTTAGTTCGAAATTTACTTTTGTTTTTTTTCATTTTCTTCTTACTTGAATTTTTAAATTTTTTTAATGCTTTAACATATGCACTTTTTTTGTTCTTAATTATTAAACCATTTTTTTTTTTATAATTTTTCCTTTTCATTCTATTATTATCTTATTTTTTTTTGTTTTAAATATTTTTCTAATAAACAAAACAAAATCGTATTCTTTAATTTTTTCTCTTAGTTTATGTTAATCTTTTTTGTTTCTATAACTATTAAAACTATACTATCATATTAAATTGATTCAGTTAAAAATCAAACAGTTTATATAAAAATCCGGAACTTAAATAAAAATGAATTTATAATTTAAATGTAGAAGCAAATAATTAAATTAGAGTTTACATTCTTTACACAATAATTTAGATTTTTTAATAGAGTTACAGAAATATCTCTTCTAAAATACAAACTGTAATTAAAGAAAATGAGAATAAATAAGCATCATAGGACAACCTTCACTAATACT